TATATATATATATATATATGTATATATATATTAAATGTTTATACTTTCTGCAATTGGATTAATAGGATAATAACTACTACAAGTGCATCTAACAATCTACTAGAGGAGAAGCAATGTTTTATGGGCATGTGTCACCAAATTAGAGAAATTGGGATCAATCTGAGCAAAGGTTAATACAGATTTCTCTCATCATTTTTGTCAAGTTCAAGGGAACATATTCTAGGGTTAGAGCACAATTGCTTCGACAATTTGGAGTTGATATTTGAGGATGTTCTAAAACAACTTTGACACAAATTCTAGGAATGTAAAATTTGGATACTGATGTAGTGCAGAAAAAGGAGGATGCTACATTTAAGAAAGTTCTATTTCCTTCTTCTTGCCAAAGTGATTATAATCAGTTGTGTAGCTTTAAATCAAGTGGACATTTATTTGGAGCAGAAAATTATGATTATGATCATAAGAAAAACAAAATGTCAGACAATAATGCTATGAAAGAATATTTAATTTGCAAGTTAAAGATCATTTAATTGAAAAAATTCTTAAATTTTTTATTCTGCAGCTCATCCATTTCATTTGGTAAGAAATCCATATTATTTTAGTGCATTCTTATATGCAGCCAACAACACAATTACTATATATATTCCTCTTAGTTATAATCTGTTAAGAATAAACTTGCTTCAAAAAAAGAGAGCACATACTGATAGTATGTTGGAACAGAAGATTATGATTATGATCATAAAAAAAGAAAAATGTCGGCAATAGTGCTATGAAAAAACATTTAATTTGCAAGTTAAATATCATTTAATTGAAAAAATTTTCAAATATTTTATTCTGCAACTCATCCATTTCATTTAATAAGAAATCCTTATTATTTCAGTGCGTTCTCATATGCAGCCAACAACACAATTACCATATATATTCCTCTTGGTTATAATTTGTTAAGAATAATCTTGCTTCAAAAAGAGAGAACATATACTGAGAGAATATTTGAGTCTATGAAGGATACTTAAAATGAGAAAAGAGTTTCCATAGCTTGTGATGGCCGGATAGATGCGCTAAGAAGACTTCTCATTAATTTCATGGGTGTCACAGAATTTGGACCAATATTAAAAAAAAGTAACTGTGAGGAGGCATATAAAAAAAAGTTTTACATTGCCAAAGAAATTAAAAATAAAAATTAATTATGGGTCTATGTTCAGATAAAGTGGTTCGAGTAATCACAGATAAAGTGGTTCAAGTATGCATTGATAATGCACTTGTGTGCAAATTTGCAGGTGCATTGATTGAGGTTCAATGTCCTTATATTTTTTGGACTCATTATGTTCATACATTAAAATTAACATTGAAAAATATACAGGATGCAAAGAATATAGAAGGAAATGACAACTTATGAGCAATGTCGCTAGATAATTTACATTACAAGTGTCAATTTTATAAAAAAATTTATTATGAATCATTCACTGATTTTGTCATTGTTTAATGAGTGTAAATCTGGAAAATGTTTATTGCAATGACGCATATTGCATCAAGCATAGTCATGCTTAGGAGATTCAAAACAATCAAACAAAATGCTGCAAATAACAATAATAAGTGACAAGTGAAATATATATTATGAAGACAATATAAATAAGAAAAAAATTTGTGAAGAAAAAAAAATCTTCAATGACTTTTGGTGGGTAAAATTAATTATATTATTGATTTTATAGAACCTGTGTATGGCATGTTGAGATTGAGTGATACATATACACTTTATCTCCAGTTTATCTGTGCTATGTGGGATTCTATGATAGAAAATGTGAAAGGTATTATATATGGACATGAGAGAAAGAGAAAATGAAGACTCTAAGTTTTATAAAGTTGTATATGAAATTTTAGTAAAATGATGAAATAAAATTAAGTCTTTATTTAACCCACTCTCTTAATCCAATGTATTATTTGATTTGATTTTTATTCTTTATTAATCCTAACTTGTGATAATTTTGTCACTTATAAGTTTTAGTTTTTTTTACGTACTATAGTCATGCTTGGCTAAGTGAAGTTCCAAATCGTGTTGCTTCACATAATGATATGAATATATAAATTGAGAGAAAAAAATGCTTAAAGAGGATTTTCCCAAATTTTGAAGAAAGACCAATTTTTAATTTGGAATTTGATAATTTCTTTGTATTTAGTGGTGTTTTCAACGATCATGCCTCTAAAGCTTCTAGAGCTCTTGTGGATAGAAAGTTATGGTGGATGATTTATGGAGCAAGTTCCCCACAACTACAAAGTTTAGCTTTCAAATTGTCGGCTCCATCGTGTTCATTTTGTTGTTGTAAAATAAACTTGTTGTAGATATTCTTTTATATATTAACTTAAGAGGAACAAAATCACTCCGCAATGATGTGAAGATTTGATATTTGTTCATACTAATCTCCGTCTTCTATCTAGGGGGAGCCCAAAATATTCTATGGGGGACCCAGAATTATGGGATGCTGGTAGAGATGTCTTAGCTACAATAAATACTATTTGAATTCTTGAAGTTGCTAATGTTTTTCTTGATGAGCCATGCTTAGAAACTGTGTTTTTCGTTGATGAAGGTGAAAGTGTCATTAATGAGGGCAATAGAGCTATTACTAATGATGACACCACTGTTGAATGCATCAACTCCAATAAGTGATAATTATGTTGTTATATTTTGACATTTTGCTATATTTTGCTTCATTTTATTATAGATGACATTGTTATTAAATGTTTTGGTAATTATTTGATATTTTGAATATAATTTTGATATTGCCAAAAATAATTTATATTATTATTGAGTGTTCTTAATGATTGTATTTTCTGTTTTGTGATATCTTTAGTAGAAAATATTAAAAAAATATATCTATATTAATAATTATTAAATATAAAAAAAATGCGTCCATGCCGTATCGTGTCCTAATTTTTGTAATTATATTGTGTCGCCGTATCTTGTTGTGTCGTGTCCGTGTACCCGTGTTCGTATTGGTGTCCGTGCTTCATTGCAATACACAGTCTTATTGCTGTTCAATCAGTTTGTACTGGCTAAATGGGTGAATAATGAGAATTGCCATGATCACAATTTTCATTCCTAGGTTAGTAACAAAGTTTTTTTTATTTGTTATGAAGAAATGGCGTATTAATGTATCTCTGTTTTTTTTCCCCATCCTTTATTTTCTCCTGCTTAGAAAAAGAGGATGTATCGTTTTTGTTTCTCAACAGCTGCTACATAATTAAAATTTTGATAAACAATATATGTTACATGTGCTATTGCAAGTGAATTTGTGCATCTTTTATGTTTTTGATTAAAGAAGGGGTGCAATTCAAATTTGGTCTGAACAATACCTAAATCGAGTTCATTTGGTTTCGTCATTATTGGAGTCGGAACAAACTTGGATTACCTAGGTCCTATAGAGAAGACATAGTGGGTAATCTAGAAGTGAGAGGCTAGAATTTACTCTGCACTACTACACAAGCTGGAACTAAGTTTAGATTAACTAATGTACTTTATGCTCGGAAGGGGTAAAGAAGCAGCATGCTTCTATTTGTCACAATATAAAGGTTGTTAAGCTCAGATGATCGTTGTTGCAATCAAGTTGCTTTTATTATATAATCAAAATTTAATAAGCAATATATGTTACATGTGCTATTGCAAGTGAATTTGTGCATCTTTTATGTTTTTGATTAAAGAAGGGGTGCAATTCAAATTTGGTCAAAACAATACCTAAATCGAGTTCATCTGGTTTCGTCATTATTGGAGTCGGAACAAACTTGGATTACCTGAGAATTTAATGCAAATCAAACAACTTTTTTCACTTTTATCCTTATTTATTGTGCTCCAGTTAACAGATGCTGATATAACATTATTCAACCTTTATTTATATTCTTAAATTTCCACAATTCAATCTGAACAATAATGCAACAGTTAGGACTAAATTGACAAAATATGCTTGCAATATATGATTATAGATGCTTATGTATAAGCATGCAATCACCAAAATGTGGTATCACTTCAACCATATAAAAATGGCATATTTATAATAAAATTATCAAGGATGCATTTGAGAACCTGCGTTTTCCAATTCATCTGACACCCTGTTTTCTATTGAATGACTTGAAAGAACTTATATTGATCGGTTTAGTTTGATTCTTCAATTCTGTGGGCATTTTTTTGCATGCTTCTCACTAAAGCTCACCACGTACTGAATTTTATTATTTAATTCTCATTTTCTTGGTTCATTACTTTTTTTTATTTTTCTAGACATATCAAGCTGAGTGTATTTGTCACATTATGTGATAGCTGATTTATTTCTACAGTTATTGAAGGGTTGTAGTCTAGTTAAGTGCATGTTTGAATTAATTATTAATTGAGAATCTCTTGTAAAGGATTTTATCAGGAATCTCTATAGCGGAAAAACTGAGCTCTGTTTCTTGGGTCATCTCTTCATTGTTCTCACTAGCATAATAGTTTTTCCTTTTCTTTTTTCATTGAGAGTTTTGTGCATGCTACACAGTTTCTCATTAGAATGACTTTTTTTTTTCTTTCATCTCCTTTTCAGATGGAAGTTTTGATTCTAATTATTTTCAGCAGAACGAAGAATCAAACAAATTTAGGCAAGAATTTGAGATGCGCAAAATGAGGCAGGCAAGTTTTCCTGTGTTTTTTTTCTACCCACACTCTTCTTGCTTTTGTACTTTTTGGAGCACTTGTATGGCCTTATCATACCGAAGAACTTTATATTTCTCTCCATGGATAAAAGAAATTAAGTAAAGTGTCAAAACAGTCCCCTGGCCATTTGTATCAGGTTATTTTTGTATTCGAGTTTAAAATAGCTAAATTTGTCCCAGACTAGTTTAATGGGGGTAAGTACTCCTCATTGGGGACTATTTCGACTCATTTCAAGAAAGTTTTGGGGCTAATATAACATTTTTATAAACCTTGAACCATTATGGATGAGTGAATGTGATTAATGGAGATGAAGAGTTTATAGATGATAATTATTATATGTATGCTGCATGACTTCCTGCTTTTCGAAAATTCCTGTTATTTGCAAAAAAATGTATGTCTGCAGGATCAAGGCTTGGATGTTATAGCTGAAGGTCTGGATACGCTGAAAAACATGGCCCATGATATGAATGAGGTTCGCTGTCGAATTCTTACTTGCTTTGCTATTTCAATATAACCAAGCTAGCTGTTTTCTTAATTTGTTTTTCATTTTTAGGAATTGGACAGGCAAGTGCCATTAATTGATGAGATTGATACTAAGGTGAAAACTTCAATCTTTTCTTCTTTATCTGACCGCTTGACTGGTGTATAGTCTTGTTTGGGATCAATTGTATTTTTTGTTTTTGGTATTGTTTTTAAAAATATTTTGTTTAGTGCGTTTTTTTATGTTTTTATTTTGTAATTCAGAAAACAAATTAATACATTTTTTAAAACTTTGAAAATAACTTTTATTTTTTGTAGTGCTTTTAGAAACAATAATATCTTCAAACAACGGGAATACATGTAAAATAAAATCATGTTTGTGATATATTTTGTCTCAAATTAAAATATAAACAAAATAAAATAAAAATAGAAAAAAATATAAAATAAAAAACTGTAAGTGATCTTAAACAGCCCCAAAATGTATTAATGCTGTTATTTTTGTTTATTGCGTGTCCAGGTTGACAGGGCCAATGCTGACTTAAAAAATACCAACGTGAGGCTTAAAGATACTATAAATCAGGTGAGGTTTTTATGTTTCCCAGGACTTTCCATATACAATTAAACTTTTTCCTTAACTCTTCTATGGTTTTTCTGTTTTCTTACAGCTGAGGTCAAGTCGCAACTTCTGTATAGACATTATCCTGCTGTGCATAATACTTGGAATTGCTGCTTATCTTTACAAGTGAGGCCGCTTTACTATTAATTCACTGGAATCAGTTTCACTTTAGTTTGAGCTTTGAAGGGATTAATGAGTACTTAGATGTTGAGCTCTTTTTCCTTTTGATAGCATTGTTTTTATGCCAAATAAAATTTTATTTCATGCTCGAATTGATGTTTCACTATATATATGGCTTTTTTCATTAACATCATTAGCTTTATCATATTTACGTATGAATCTTCATTCTTTGTTAATTTTTGTTGATTATTGCATGTGGTGCTAAACATATTTCAGAAATCTTTTTGTGCAATTTTTATCCTTGGTACCTTCAGTCTTTCCAACTCACTTCTTAGTCTTTTACCTCTTACTTTATCTGCATGTATTATTCATTTCTTACTTTGTACATGTTCAAAATACTGAAGTTTATCTTCCAATATTTTATCTTCCATGGATGTTACTCTCACGCCATTCATCCAATATAATTGTCTCTCAATCTATCAATTCTTGTTTTTCTATAAACTCATCTTAATAATCTTGTTTTAGTAAATAACTAAGGTAAATTTCACAATATTATTATTTGGCTATCTATCTTGGCATTGTTATTATTAAGCACCATCCAAAACTCAAATTTATGCAACATAGACTGCTTAATAATACTTTTGTAAAATTTACATTTAAGTTTTAACGATATTTTTTTTTCACATAAATACTTTTGGAATACTACTATATTTAGTGGGTCAGCTTAAGCACTAGATATTATATTCTCATCAGCATTTCCATTAAATTTTTTTCGGGTATATTTTATAATAGTTTACTAATTTCTTTCCAAAGTTGATTGTTCAGACTATCTTTTAATTCAAATTAGAGCATAAGCATTAATCACATTTACAGCATCATTAAATACAAAGAACATAATCCCCACCACCTTATTAGCAATTCTATTCATTTTAATATATTTATCTCCATCATGATCGCTAGCTCATTTATATTGTTAACCTCTTCATGATACAATAACTTGGAATCTTTCCCATTCCTTTTTTATTTTCCTCATTTTACTTTTATATATTGTAAATAAGTAGTATTCTTCTTCTTCTAATCATTATTTCTCAGAAAGCTTGTCTTCTCATTGGGGCTCTATTTGGGGGCAGTTGTAGTTTCTCAGCTTTTGCGCTGCCCCAAGAAGCTGCTGTGGGGAAGCAGTTGCGGGGAAGCTGGCTGTCTGTTTGGCGCAACTGTGTGAAACCAGTTGTCGGGCAGCTATTTATGAAAAAAAAAGACCATACTTCTCCTATTTGATAAAATTGTTTAAAAGAAGAGTATAATAATAATATTTTTGAAACTTCAGTGAGCTTCGAAAGTGCTAACAACTTTTGTTTAGGAATAAGAGCACATATGCAACACAATCTTATTTATTTACATATCTAAAACATACTTTGAAGTTTTACGAATATTTGCAAATTATTTTGGAGGTCTTACGAAAGAATTGGATTGCATAAATGTAATGAAGTTAATTTAAGTGTTAGATATGTAAATATGTGAAATTAGTTATGGTTAATGAATAAAATTGAAGTTTTAGATATGTATATATATGAAATCGATTACTATATGGAATAATTTTAAGTATTAGATAGGTTAATATATGAAATACATGGCCGGTTTAAGGAAGGAAAGAATTCGGTAGCATTATTGTAATAAATATTTTATCCATAAAATATTATAAAAGAATAAATTTTAAAAAGTGTTGTAATAAATACAAATTGAATAAATACAAATTGAAGAAATGAAGAAATGTTCTAAAATTATATTTTAGTCTACAAAATGGATATCTTATCATTTAATGATTAATTACTCATGTACAATGACAATAGTAATTAGAAAATATGTACATAACTCAAAGTTTGTAATAACTACAAGCCGCACTAAGACAGTAGATAAATACACTGAACCGTAGATAAATATAAATTATATGCAATAACTTCTTATAACGCAAAACTTCTATTTAAAACAATAGCTAAATACAGATGCGCATCTCACGTCACAGTGAGTATCAAGAGAGCAAAAAAAAACTCTAAAACAATTACAATGATAATTAATAAGATGATTACATTGTTCTTAAAATTCACACGATGTAGCTCCCGTGCCAAACTTTCCTCAAGTGATTTTCTCCATTCCATATTAACGTCGTCAAGTGAATCCACCGAACCGTTTGCCTAACGGAAGAAGTGACACTGCTCGGCAGCTATAGAACTTTCTCCTGTAGCTGTGTAGCCGACGTGACGTCATCATGGAACTTTGGAAGCCACAGTGGTAGATCGTTCGTCGAGATGTCTCGGAAATCCTTGAGCTCATGTTTTCCTGATTACAACAGAAGAACAAACAACAGACAAGTATTGTTACTAAGCCAATGAAAAGGATAAGGAAACCATAGATAATTCTTAAGCAGCATAAAAAAAATGACAAGGAAACCAACTTCATAAGAAGAAAAAGCCCATATTGGCCTCAGTACATTCAGACCACATGTTCTCAATTATTAACACAGATGCAACAGTTATGCTTAGAGGCAATGATTATTCCAGCTGCACCAAGACCATTCAACGGAAAAAGCAGAGAACCCTGAAGCGCCATTAAGAAGGACAAGATCACCAGCAATGTACATGAAATTCATGCACTTACTAAAAAAATACTCATGCTATGAAGGACAAGATTACCGCCATCATTCTTTCAGATTCATGGAGATGATTTACATCAACGTGATATTAAAGTGAAGACAACTTACAGTACATTACCTGCATGCATAAGCAAACAATGGTCATTCGAATGGCACCTATGTTAGCAGCTAGAACCATCATGTTTCATGACCCATGAGGACCTGTAAAGATCTCCACGATAATGTTCATATCATAAAGCATTTTTCTTTTCAGTTTATAAGTATTCAAATGGCTGAACTGAAGAATAACATCACTTCTCCAAGCTGGCAACTAGGCTGATGAACTAGCACACCATATGAAATCAAAAATGAGGAATGAGTTGCACTTTAACACTTATATGCCACTAATATTTAAAAATTTAGCCTCAACATACCACAAAGCAAAAAGGGGCTGATATTTATAACCCAAATTTGGGACTATAAACCTTATAAATACCATATTTAACTCAAAATTTAACTGATTAATCATATATAACATATTAATCTCAAAATAAATGGTATGGCTATAAAATCCATCCCAAATTCTCAACTCAAGCATTCTTTATTTGCAGCTATGATATTATTTCGCTCAAGAAGGCGGGCCGCGGGGTATAATTCGTGGCCCCGCATTTGGTCAAATTTCTTGATGCCAGCCCGCCACCGCCCCTTCAAACGTTTAAAAAAAAAAAAAAAATTGCGGCCCGGGGCCGCGACGCGATGAAAAGCCGGGCCAAACATACCCTGGAAGTCACCAAATTTCAAGTAACAAATATTATCATAGAGTTGTAGATAATGTTGAATTTTCACCTTTCACTTCGTTGAAGTTGTAGTGCATCACCTGTAAGTGATATGCTAACCAATCCTTGCATACTTATCACCGCAACTAGAATAAATTGTGGTGTGTCACTTACAACTGATGTTCTAATGAACTCTTGCTTAATTCCTAAACAATTAGGCTAGGTCATGATAGGCCAGTTCTGGGGACCAATCAAGCACTACGAAAATTTAAATTTGAATTCATTTCATGAATTTTGTAAGAAATTTAATGAGTGCCATCAACCTGACATCAATTCTTAACCTTTCTTATTAGAACTTGTGAGGAACAATTGTGTTTTGAAATTATTATCTGGTTCATTTGTCTCATGAACTTTAATTACTATCGATTATTTAGTTCCAGGTGAACTTGAAGAAATGTTTTATGTCGAATTGCCTGATTTGGTTCAGTTTCCTTATTGGCATATTTTGAATCTAATCCTGATAAATTTTTGGATTTGGTTCAATCCTCACCTTCGAAATTAGGTTCTTCTGCTCTGTGCTGAACATTTTTAATCATATATGTACTTATGCTTGATAGCTTGACTTGGGTAAAGTTGTTTTTGGGATCCGTTATATCCATGCTCTGCTAATATTCCTCCCGATCTATTTTCTTAGACCTTTCACCAACATTTAATCATGCCTCTATTTTCTGAGCACCGTTGCTTGGTTGTGCTCCTTATCTCTAAATTCCATGGACCTTCATCATCTCTGGTCTTCTGCTTCCTTTCCAGAGCCAGTGGTTGGTTGCAATTCTCTTTTAAAAATTTAGCATATTTTCCTCGCCTCTGATGTGGAATCCTTCTTCTCCTCCTTGTTTAGGCACTGGTTCTCTATTAGCCACTGCTGATCGTTTTCTTCCTTCCCAGTTCTGCACTGTAGCTGGATTGGATCTTCTGTTCGTGTGTTTTGCTGATGTCTTCGAGCTGTTTAGTTTAAGTTTCACAGTAACGAGTAGTAGACTGATGGCTTGACGATTTTATTTCCTGTAGCTGGACATCAGTTGTTTGCTCATTTTTTTTCTCTTCTTAATCGGAGTTGGTACTGTAGCGGCACTATGTATGAGCCTAAGATACTAATTTTGGACAATATTATTTAAAAAAAAAATAGTAGTTTTAGGTCAGATTCTAGGATTTTGGGAAAACTGCTCATTTTGGTTTTTTTTATATTACAAAGAAGCTCTTGAGATAAATTCAATGGTTCAATGAAATTTCAATTTTATCTTGACATTGCGCTTTTCTGTAGAGTTAAGTAACTTTGTATGGCTTGAAAGTTGTTTCATTTAAATCAAGTTTCAGCGGATAACCTTGCATCTCAATTAGTCGAATGTTGTTTTTTCATAGCAATTAATTTATTCCTGCTTGCTAGTATTTTTTGTTTATTTTGCGTTTCGAAGTTCTCAAACTTGAAATTAAATACTGATAGATTTCCATACCTTCCCTTGTCAAAATCTACATTTGGTCAATCGCTATATATCTTCTAATTTAATACTTACATTAATAACACTGAAATCTTTAACATCACATGATAAATACCACTTTACTAGTTAAAAGTGAAATGCACCTTTTTATGCATAGGAGTGTAACACCAAGGCGTTATAAATGTAAATATCAATCTTCAGGTGTTAGATATGTATATCCATAAGAATTGTGTGGTATGCATGTAAATTTCCCTTCAAATTATTTCTCTCTATTGGTGAGAGCAAGCTCCGAGGCTATTAATCATGTGATAAGGGTAGAACTTAGCAATGAGGGAGGTTAATTGATTTTCCTCCATTGGCTAATGAAAGGAGTGAAGCAGGGAACTGAAGAGGAGAGGATGAGGGGAGGAAGTAGAAGAGTAGACGAGGTGGGACTCTGTAACTGGGTGCTTAGATGATGCATTTCTCTGTTACTCTAAGTGGAGACTTAGTTCTCTTGGGGCATTAGTAAGAGCAGGAAGAAGGTAAAGAGAATAAGAATGGGAATGAAAGGGAATTAAAAAGGGAAATGGGAGCCCCCATGGATGCTTTTATAACTATATGTATACAAATTTAAAATACAATAAGATCAAATCTGCTAAATATTAAGTACTGAAAGCTGAGAAAAAAATGTATTGATGTTCCAAACTAGAACAAAAATTGAATGTTTCGAAGTAAAACTATCTTCTAAAGCTTAAAAGCAATGCTGAGTGCTTTAGCCATGTTACAGTAGACTATGTGATGAAGAAAAAATGCTTGTGTTGGCTTTTGGCTCAATGCAGGCGATAAAAATAAACAAAATTTTAAATATCTGTTAAAAACATATTATTTAGAGTTTTAAATATGGTTTTTAAAAGAATTATTTTTCTTAAGATGATGGTTTTGTTTATGTAAACTAGTTACTATAGAAATATATATGTTAATATGTGAATTTGCAAATGACTGCCATTTGGTTTTTGGTTTTTGCCGCGGAGTGGAGTTTTGATTTCGAAAATCTGTGGCCATTTTTGAGTTTTAGCGTTAGCTAAGAGTTTATTTGGGACAGATTGCTTTTTATTTTATTTTATTTTTTTAATATAATTCTATAGGTTTTTTTATTATTTCTCAGAAGTGTGCAGTTACTAAAAGAAAATTATCGGACTTATTAAAAGGAGGAAAAGTTTATGTACTCTTGGATTTGTCAGCTTTAGCTTCTTCTAGTGATGCTGGTTTTTGTTTATTTATTTATTCATTTATTCATTTATCTATTTTGTTGCAGTGTATTGAAGAAGTGAGATGCTTTTGGGTGGAGTAATTTCATTTGTTCCATCTAGATATAATGCTATGGTGCCATGACGTTGCCAGCCAGCCTGAGACATCCTTGTGTACATGGAAGTGTGTATCTTCTATTCACATTCAATATTTTCTTGCTGCAATGAATTTAGTTTGAAAGTTGAGTTTTGTTGACATTTTCTCCACCTTTTTGTGCGTGTTTTTTTGAAAATGACATGATGAGATCGGTGTGGATTATTGTATAACCCTTATTGCTAATTTGTTTTCTAGGATCCACATTCATGTAAATGTGGGCAAGATGTGGCAGGAGATGATTTAATGAATATTGATACATATTATGAAATTGCTTTCAACGTGTCTCTTGCCTTCTGGATTTGGAAATCTCAGTGTTCCCTTATGCATATTCTTTTATTATTATTATTGTAAATCAAAGTATAAAATTCAAATTTTTATATTTTGTTATTTGTTTTTCATTTATTTTCTTTTATGTTCTGGCAATCACTCTTCACATTTTATTTGTCTTCGTTTTATGTTGCTTCTATTTTGGTTCATATTTGCATTCATATTTTGTTCCGAGGTTTTATCGATCCTTGATTGCATTGCAACATTCTTATGTGATTGGTATTTCCAATCTGTTTTCTCAAAGAAAATGTGGAGAGATTATTGCGCATACAACTCTCGAAATATTGCTATTTACAAAATTTGCACTTAGGTAATTTTTTTCTTTTAAAAACCAGTGCATTTGTGCATGCCATGAATTGATCTATTGAGAATTTGGTAGAAGTGAAAAATGTGTTTGGCTTTTGTTGTGAATTTTGATATTTGAGGGAGAATTTGAATAATGTATGAAAGGTGGTAGATTTATAAATAGTAATGTTTTGAGTGTAATGTATGTAATTGCCCTTATTTTAATCGACAAAAAATCAAAACATTGTCATAATGTATTTATTCCCCTGTATTTATTCGAAAGGTTGCAAAATATTGAATAAATAGTTTAATGATTTTTTTTTCTCATTTGCATCTTCAAGTATGATGATGTATTTGTACCAAATATTTTTTTATGCTTTAAGATTGCGAACTTTTATATAATCATGAAAATGTAAGGCACAATAAAGAGATGTCATGCTTTTATTGTTCAGATGGTTGAGTTTAAACTTGGTGGAAGTTCACTCCTCAATGGATTTGGGCATTATTGACCATCTATCTTTTGGATTGATGGCTTGTGTCCTTTAATTACAAGGTCTCAAATCAACGAGCAGATTTTCTGTGTGGACTCCTGATGTAGCTCTACATGCGGCGGAGATTATTCATGAGTTAATAACTCAGGAGTAATCTAATTCAGGAATAATTTCTGCCGCACGTAGAGCTATGTCAGGAGTTCGTATAGAAAAATTAGGCTAAATCAACATGTCACAAAAGTGAGAATAAATAATATATATATTCTAAATTCTCTTTTAAGACAATGCATCATGTTCTAGTTGCGTTGTGCAAAAATTTTTTTTTAGATGTTCTTGTTTGGGATGGGAGGGGTAGAATTGTCTTCCTTAAAAACTTAATAATAATTTAAAGTAAGTTTTTAAAAATATTTAAATTGAAAATTAAACTTAAATCACATGTCTAAATAATAATGAGGGCATTCAATATAAAAATTAAAGAAAAAAATTAAGTGGAACATAAAGAGTAAAATAGTATTATGCAGGCCAACTATAATGTGCCAATATTCTTGCCCCAAGTGCTTCTCATTTTTAGGACTCTTAATTCGGTATCTTTGAGATAATTTTCTATCTGCTTTGCGTTACAGGCTGTCATCACAGTTTTGTCTGGAGATTTGTTTTCTTAATGTTTTCTAGAAATTTATATGATGGAAAGCTATTTTTTTCAACATAATATATTAAGCTTTGGTGGCAGTAACAAAATTACAATTTTATTCTTTTGAAAAAAAATATTTACTTTTATAATTTTCACTATTGCTTTTCAAAAAGTTTTCTTCACCACAGCTTTCTAACTACTCTTTGAAAAGCTACATGTCATGGACAAATAGTCCCACATCGGCTAGGTGTAGGGCCGAAAAGCAGTATTTAAGTCCTGGGCTGCCCACCACCCATAAGGGCTCTTTTGAGAGGTGACATACAGCTATAGCTACTCAAAAATAGAAAAATCTTTGTAACTCATCTTCAAAGTGAAAAATGAGATTACCTTTGTTATGGGCAATGGCACCATTGTTAATCCTTCTCTAATCATTTTTCAGCATTGTTGGATTCACTAAATACTACTATTGGCAAGATTTAGTATCTAATCAATACTTAAAAAGATGTATATAATATCAAAATGTTAATATTAGTGATGTTGTTAGTTTGATATAAAATTTTTTGATGCTTCATAAAGAAATAATATAATTTATATGCTAGACATATAAATAATTATTTCTAGGTTATATTACAAAAGTTCAATGAAAAGCTATTGCCTTGAGATGTCATATTGGACGATCTCAAGAGAAAAATATTGTACTCCGAACGTAATATTTTTTCCCGACCTCTGAGAAATGTGGGATTGGCTGAATATGAGCTGAATCGTACAATGACATGCTTTATTAAAAAAATATATTAATATGTTTGATACGAAATTATAGATTTGTTTTATATAAAAAATATTAATGTTTAGACACTCAATAAGATCAAATGGAGAGAAAAAGATTTATATCGTGTGACCACACTTAATGCGATAGACTTATTATGGTTATTGTTGTTATTAAATATGTAATTACAAAAAAATTATGGAATATTTAGATAAATCCCTATTCCATAAAAAAATTATCGAAAAAAATTAGGGATAATTACATATCAAGTACCCAAAAACATTGTGATTTGCAAATCAACAACCCAAAAATTTAACCATAATACATAACACTTAAAACATTGCTATACAAAAAATATTACTATTTACAAATGAAGCACCAAAAAATTTAACCATCCAAAGCCCCATGTCACCTCCCAAAAAGCCCTTCGGGGTGGTGGGCAGCCTAGGATTCAAATACTATTTTTCAGCCCTACACTTAACCGATGTGAGATTTTTTATCTGTGACATTCTCTTCTATACAATCACGTGATGCCCTCATCATGTATCAGTTTCATCAATGATCCCATTATACCATAAATAGCACACACCTGACACCCTAGTGATCTACTCTGATATCAAATATCACTCACCTCTGAAAACAATCGCCTTAGTGACCGAACCCAACTGGGAACACAAGGATTACAGAGACCGGAAACTCCCATCTTCCTCCTCCGGCTCCCATCCATCCCTAAACCTCGGAGGAAGGTAACCACCCAAATGTGGAGCAGAAGGAACCTCTACGCCCCTGCCATTGAAATACTACGCAGAGAAATCCAACCTCGTCGCCTCTTTCTACACGATGTCCGTCTCCATCCCTCACCATCTAGGATTTCGGTGCATCACTTCTTATTGATTGACGATTCTAGGGCATCGGGAGGCTCGCGGCGCTCACACCATCTCCTTCCGTTCTCGCGATGTTCGGTTCGGTTCTGGTCTTCGCCCTACTCGACTGGGCCGGCTCATGGAGGGCTGCTTGCTTGTTGGAACTGCAGTGAGCCGTCTCCGGTGGCGGGGACGTTCCTCGTCTGCGGGGCCTGCAGAGCTGTACAGCCGGTGGATTTATCAGTCGACTATTTCGACATCTTTGGGCTGTAGGTCTTCTCGGAATCACTGCGGGATTGCTTTTCTTAGGTTTCATGCTTATTGCCAAATTTTTCCTCCTCAATGTTTTGCAAGTTTATTTTTTTATGATGTATCTTGCAATTTAGAAAGAAATTCTTTGAAATATATGAGTGCAGAATGTTAGAGGAAATGGTTTAGACTGGTTATCTGGTTTAAATTACATCTACAAGTTACTATTCATTCTCTATAGGGAGAGAGGATATGACATAATGGTTGAAAATTTAGAATGGAAGTATAAAGAATGGCAGAAGAAGCTCCATCCTGATCTGGTTCATTCGAAATCTGAGGTATGGCAATGTTTTTATTCAATGTTTGATCTTTTTTCTGATTGTAATATGCTCATCTAATTTCTTAAACATTCTTGTTGGATTTTTCTATGGTTTAGAAAGAGAAATCTTATGCTGCTGAGCAGTCGGCCCGCGTGATTGATGCTTATCGCACACTAAGCAATCCTTTATCGAGAGCATTATACTTGGTGCTTTCCTTAATCCACCACAACATTTGCTTTTCAGTTTCATATATGTTTTTGCATGTTGTTATTGAAAAATTTGATCTTTGGCGCTTTATAATGCTAATCAATTCTGTAAGGGATTTTTAATAAATTGTGAATTTTTGATGGTTTGGTCACATTAAACGTTGACCACTTGATGAACTGATTAGAAGAGTTGATGTTTTAGATTCGACTTATGTTAAGAAAGGTAGAGGTAGACCTAGCTAGGATGGTAGAGGTAGACCTAGGATGACTTGGGCATATTGTATAAAAAAATGATCTTAATTTATTAGAATTAAATGAAAATATGTCTCTAAATAGGTTGTAATGGAGAAAAAAGATTCATTTAGCCGACCCCACTTAGTAGGATAAAGGTTTTGTTGTTGTTGTTGTTGTTGTGAATTTTTGAATGCACTACTATTCCATGGGCCATCAGCTGAATTACATCATTCGCCAGACAGTAATTTTCTTTCCAAAATGACTTAAAGGATATAAGGCTTGGGTGGGGTTGATGTACATATCTTCTTTCTTATTTTTGCATTGTAGTTTTTAAGATATATTCTGTGGTTTCTAGATTAAAATGTCAACAGCGCAAACAATTCTCTAGGTGTATCCTCAATCAATGATTCCACATTTCTGTAATTAGAAAATGCATATTTAATCGAGGTTTTTTACAGCAATAAATTTGTTTTAGGACATTTTACAAAAAAATGCATTAGGATGGGCTCATCCTGTGATATGTGCTTGTGGTTAGGTGATGCTTTCTACTCGTTGAGAAGCATATTTGCTGCCATACGCCATTTTTCTCTTTGGGATCTCTAATTTATTGTTTAAATACAATAAGAAGCTCTGATGTTTGAAGTGGCCTTCTTGCCAGCAAAAAATTAACTCGTTTGGATTGGTCTGCTTTAAAAAATGTATTTTTTCCTGCTTACCATTGTGTTCTCTCATTTTTCTATATCACATGTATTAAAATTTGGGGGCATTTACATACATACCACCCAATTCTTATGTATTTACATATGTAGCACCTAAGCTTTGATTTTTACATTTATCCCACCCAAATCATCTGTATCACATATAAATATCACTATTTGAACTTTTAAAATAGTGAAATGCACCTTTTCATGCATAGGAAAGGTGTCATACATGTTGAAATTGAAGCTTAGGTGTTGGATATGTAAATACTGCAAATCTTTCCAAAATTTGTCTTTTATTTTTAACAACACTACATCATAATATTTAGACCTTTTAGAAAATTTAGTTATATAATTGCTCTACTATGTAACAGTTGAAACTTGCTGGCATATTTGTTGACGAGGAGAAAACCGTAATGGATCCAGATTTGCTTTCTGAGGTTAACATTTTTAAGATTCTTACTTTTTTTTAATTTATTTTTTTTATGCACTGATTTTAGTCCTAAAATCCATGATGTAATTTCTTAATAAATACCTAATTCTTGTGTAATTTAAGTTCATCATTCTACTTGATGCAGATGATGGAAATTCGAGAAGCTGTTGAAGAAGAAAGTGATCCTAAGGCTTTAATGGAGCTACAGTGTCAGGTATGGCACCATCCTTTCCGCATATATCATTTTGATGATTTGTGCAACTATTTTTTCTCGTGGCATGTACATACATACCACCCAATTCTTATGTATTTACATATCTAAATTTTACTTTTTTACATTTGTATCTTCCAAATCTTTCATGTCACACAAAAAATTCCACTTTTTCAAGCATAGGTAGCAGCATATATGTAAAAAATTGAAGATTTTGTGTTTGATATGTAAATACATAAGAATTGAATGGCATGCATTTAAATCTTCCTTTTTTTTTCTTTTTTTTAATGTGGTTTGGCTTATCTATTTATTCATATTTTTATAAATATTTCTATCTATTTAGATACAAAAGAAGTACGAGGATAGGTCGGATTCCTTCAGGGAAGCTTTCAACAAACGAGACTTTGATTCAGCTATAATTGCAGCTCAGAAAATGAGATATTATGAACGGGCAATTGAAGCTATAGTTAAGAAGCTCTGATTTCGCTAGCTCTGTTTTGCTGCTTCTCTGTATGTAGTGTTGGATCAAATTTTTAGCTTTCCCCCCTCTGAATAGGAAAATGACATACCACAGAATTCATATGTATTGACATATCTAACTCTTAAACATTAATATTTACATTCATAGCTCTTAAATCTTTAACACCACATTAAAAATACAACTTTTACACTTTAAAAGTTAAATGCATCTTTATATGCATATGTTATAATAATACCGAAGGGTATAAATATTAAATTTCAGCCGGTAGATATGTAAATCCATAAGAATTATGTGGTATGCATATAAATTTGCCCATTTTACATTATTATTTTGCTTTTGGTTTATTAAATGCTGATGAAATAATAAGAAATTACTCTTTGGTCTGTCTTTGGTAGGTCTCTATTTTATACTAGAAAGTATTTATTTTTTATTTTAGTTTACCTTTTTTTACTTCTGTGTAAAGCAAAATGCCAAAGAAGGGTCTAAAAGAAAGTCCAGGAAATAATGCAGTTTCAATAATATTTAGTGGCATTTACATATATATACACACCCAATTCTTCTGTATTTGCATATCTACCACCTAAACTTTACTTCTTTTTTACATTTATACTAATCAAATCTTTCATATCACATCTAAAATATCACTTTTTTAACTTTTAAAAAGTGAAATACATTTTTTCATGCATTGTTGTGGTGGCATATATGTAAAAAATTGTAGTTTGGATGTTAGATATGTAAATAAATAGGAATTGAGTGGTATGTATGCAAAGCTTTCAAATATTTATGATTTGTAGTCACTATTTTGAGTAGAGCCTCAATTATCATCTTTACCGCTTGGTTGCTCTTTACATTCTAGCCATAGTTAAGTTTTGTTATAACTCGCGATTGGATGCAAATAGCTACTTGGCATTTGTTAATTTAGAATGCTTTAATGTAGTGTAGTGTAGTGTTGTTACTGATGCTACTAAATTTGTGCGAGAATTGTTTGAAATTAAGAAAATGAAAATTAAAATTAATTTATCTTTAGTGTGTGTGTGTGCGTGCGGTCCCTCTGGTCGGGGGTTCGAATCTCGTGGCACGGGTTCTTCAAATCAGGATCAAACACACCAGAGTTTTCAACCTTTTGGGGGAATCCATATTTGGTGCCCACTGGACCATAATATTGATTTCATATATATATATATATA